AAATCTCGCGACCTTTTTTCAAACTGTGTGTGTTTTTAGTCATTTTATATGCGCATTTCTAGGAGCTGGCAACGCTCGACTTGATGCGTTGTGACCTTATGGATTGGTTTGATGGCATCTGCAATTTGTATATTACCCCCGAAACTTTTGCCAGTGTGGAGAAGCTACTGCAACAGATTTCCTATTCCTGTAATTCGATAAAACATACAACGCTGCTCTTCGATGCCAAACTTACCTGGTAATTTACTGTTCTTACCGTTTGCCTACCATAACATGTTGGATTGTTGATTTACGTTGATACTTTCGGATTTTTCTCTTTGAGTACATGGTTCGCCAAAGAATAATTTTCGCTAGCGTCCGGTGGCCTATCTTTTTCAGAACGGTAAGTCCCGTCACACATCAGATAAGTATGGTGAGGGGATCGTGTAATCGAGCGTTGCCCATGATTCGGTCGGTTGGTAGGTTGATGTGCTTATTAATCGGTTTGTCCGTCGTATGGACGGGACATCGATGGCAGATACTTGGGAGGTAGAGGACTTATTTTTAGAATAAATAAAAGTTCGTACCCAGAAATATATCAAACACTACAGCCAGAAGATGACCGAAATAATTTTTACAAAACAGGGAGAATGTAAAAATGTCTCTATGGCCTTCAAAGTGACAGGCAAGACTTCACTTTTTTGTACTTCTGACTCGTCGCACGTCGGAAATCGGATTGGTGTAGGGCACTGACTGAAAGCGATGCCAAATTGAGTATCAAGCATGTTCAGAGTCTGGAATCTACAGCATGCCAGTGAACTTTCGAATTCTTGACAAAAACTCGTCGTTAGACCAAATGATTGGGGAAGTATGCTTCGCATTTTGGAAATTGAGGGTAAATGCGTTACTAGGGGCGTCAGAATGTACGCCACAGGGTCTTATGATCACATCTCTTCAATCGTTTCCACCTTCAAGGAGTTAAATAATCCTCCCGCCTAATTGCTTTTTACGACCAATCGTAACCTTCCCGGCTTGCATTCGCATCGCGGGAACCCGGATCGTGACCTTTCCTACCCTGATAGTCTTTTTAGTAAAAGCGATGAGGATCACCGCCGTACCACGATGGTTGGGGGCGCAGTGGACTTGCATGCAGATTTGCTTATGGCTCACATAATTACTCCTGTCGTCGATTGTAACCTCTCTCTCCCCTTAACTTTCTAGCACCTAAACTGCAACCCTCGCGGCCATTCGGGTAGGCTACGGGCTGTTGCTAACAGGCCGTGATGTCGTTGATTAGGGAAGAACTAATACAGATTATTTTACTCATTGAAGGTCGAAGTCAAAGAGAAGCCGCTGCGAAACTTAGCGAAATGAGTGAAGTTAGTAAGCTTGCTAAAACGTTTGAGCAAAAGGATTCCAGTGGGATGACGCACGCAGTGGGCATTCAACCAGTCTCACCGACGAAGTCTCGCACATTTGAGTTGATGCATGTTGTGCTATTACTCCTGATACGATTCGACGTGTTTTTGCTGAATGCAGCACACTACTTACCTGTTCATCGTAAAGACTGGTAGGTATACCGAACACAGTAAGTTGACGAGTTTCGTTGACAGTTTCATTACTTTTCAAATTAATTTAGATGTCCGGGATGCCCCGTAGAGTAGAATGAAAATAATTTGTCATGATTGCAATGGCGTCTGTGAGGACATGTTTTGCGATATTACCTGAACCCTCTTAGTACACAATCTGCAACCACCTTTCCTCGCCAGCTGGCTGGTACCCACCTCGAGAGCAGCTTGGAAACCTTTACTTCCCTCTTTCCTCAGCTGGTTTCTAGTCATCGAATAACGGTCCTTTCATCAAGAACTACAAAAAATAACACCATCGCCTGCCTGTGGGCTTGCTGAATTCTAGTGTCATGGTCGAGACTGTCTTGCAACGGTGGTAGTAACCCGTTTTACAATGCCACTGACCGAAATTCTGGGCTTCATGCGTGGATGCTGCCGTTGTCGTCATCGAGTCGGATCGAGCGTTAATATTAAAATAACATCTTAATGCCATCTTTGCAGACATATACTTCATGATGGTGAAGAGGACAACTAGATGACCCTTCTTGATGCCGTCGTCTGCTGCGAAGACTGTAGTGGCTTAAAAACCAGACTGACAAATGTGACACAAGTACTGCGTTTCAGCAACAGCCACCCAGTCAGCGACAAACGCAGGACGCTCCCCCGGCGTGTCGAGACGTACTGCAGTGAACTGAGAAACAAAGTTGCGGAATTTCGGTAACTTTGTGGCGTGCTAAAAGCAAGCGCAATTATGCCAACCGGCGCATGCAATGACGGCGCATGACGGGAAAATGGATTCACTCATTAGGCTTGCTGCTGGCCGCGGATGCGTCCACGGATGACGGATAGTAAGAGCCTAGTTGTGGACTAAGCAGTAATGGACCAGCAGCGACATGTTTAGGTCACGGAGGCCCGACATCTAACACGCAAACGTACTTTACAATGCCGAAAAACCCGATGACGACTCTGCGATGTAGCGACCGGGAACTGCCACCAAATATGTTTGCTTGCCACCGTTGCCCTGTGGTTGAGTTCTTGAACTAAAGCGCTTGTAGAGACATTTTCGAACAAGTCGTCTTGGTGGTTGTTGGAGACCCACGTCAAATCGAAATCTCCGCGACACCTGTGTAAATTTTTCGAAACTGCAATTGCGATCCATGCTTCGGCTTATTACTCTTTCGGCATCTACCCATCCCTTCCCCTTGATAATTACAGCCCCGCTCTTTACCGCCAGCTTAGATAAGTAAAAGACGGGTTTCAGTAGGCTTAAAAATGCGTCTTCCCAAGCATACGTTAAAAGAGGTCGTGGAGCCTAATCGTTCCAGAAATAACAGGGTTCGTCTTCAGAGGGCAGAATGACACCGCATTCTCCCGTATTTATCAGTGCTCGCGGCCGCGCTGTCGGTCAGAGGTTATCTATACGATTAGGTCCACTTATGGCTCCAAGGTGATGAGCGCCGACCTGCAGCTAGAGAAGGGGACGGCGGTCGCTTTCCGCATTGCCATTATGAAGGAAATTCGCGTCGGCCTTCATTTCTGGCCCATTGCTCTCCTTATTGTCCCTGCGTCAGTATTGCCCTATGCTTTAAATCCTGCAGTCCCGTCAGTGGAGGTGTGTCCGTAGAGCCTAATACTCCTCAGCGGGAGCCATGCGACGACCGGGAGACGCTATGCTTGTGTGTCAGGCCTCCAGTCTCCGTGTTCAACTAGTATTGCAGTCCAAGGGTCGGTACGTGTCCTATTTTTTTCAGTTTCCCGCCGCGGACGGCAAGGGATCTATGTCCTTCACCATTCGCTCGTGTTCGTGGTTGCCTACCGGTTTCCGACCCAGATTTTTGGCAGAAACCACGCGGACCCAACAGACTTTATGTGGGACTTCGTTTGCAAGGATCAGTCATCGTCGTCCTGAACACTGTCAATTTCTTTGTGGTGCAATGTCATCACCCTCTGACGGCGGAAGCCTGTTTCTATCGAAACATCAGGGATACCAACCTTCAGTGGTAGAGGGGCGCTCACCGGTCGCGTTGCGGAACTTCCTCGTCCCGTTGGGCGGGACTGAGCCCCAGGTGTTGCATACCTTGAGGTTGAGTGTGGCTTGCTGAAGACGACCAACAAGTCAGAAATAGTCGTTGCTGTCTCCCTTGTCTCGGTCGGCAATTTCATAAACCTTCAGTCTTTGAGACCCCTTCCAAAAAGCAGCATGTTGCATGTGCGTAGAGGCAAATGGATACTGTCGCACGCGTACTTAGTAAGGTGAACTTAATCCTGTGGTCCAACCCTCTTTCTGCACCCTCTGCCGTCTTCCCCACATTGATTGACCCACACGTTCGGTCGGGTTATTTTAGGTCGTCATTGCCGCTGAAGGAGATGCGCCTCCTCTACCGCTTCCTGGTCTCCAGTATCTTCAATCTCCCCCCGGACCTTGATTTGGTCGCGATCTCCCCGAAGGCGAAGCATATGGGCAGGTAGGTTCCCTTTCATCCTTACTGGTGGCAGACGCGCAGACTTATACTGTGCATAATTTCTCGGGTCTGCTAAAGTTCCCACTCGAATTTTGCATTAGACAGCCTAGAAAAATGTGCGTTTTCAAGTATTCATCATTGGAGCGTTACATTAATACAGGGTTTTGTAAGAAAGTGGAAAGTACGGTAGGTGATATGACTTACGAAACATCAACTGAAATTCAAAAATGTGCCTTCGATTCGAATGGACTAATTGAGTAGCTTTACAATGCGGATTAGTATGCAGCATAGTTCCAAGATATTTAATGCACGCCTGAATGTCGGCCCTCGGATGCGCGTCTTTCCGGCCACCTGCGAACGTTGTACTCGCTACAACACGACAAATTCAGTAGTATGCACCGATTTACCATGTCTTCCTAAATTTGAGTATATTTTATAGCGCGTATGAAGCATCATCTCTCATATTTGTTCGCAGCAGGTTTCATTTTATGATTTCCTACCTGACGAAGGGTTTTATTTAGGTCTTAAAATGTTTGTAATCAAAAAATTTTTTGACTGTAACATGTTTCTTCAGACAGTGGCGTATGTGCGCGTTCATTAATACCGCTTTTGCAGTACACACCATGATCTATATTTATTAGCAAATCTGATGGGCGCTAGACGTTCTCTACCTTATAATGTAGAGGAGGTTTGACTGCCCTTCAGTGGAAACTCTCCGGTGCATAATTCGAAAACCCTGAGCACAAATGAAGCTGCCTGTGGAGTTTGAATTTTTTTGCGAATTGAAACAAAAAACATTTTGAAAACCAGAAGGGACTTTTTTCAAGTAATGGAGACAGGTTTCTATGAAGCGCGCATAAGAAGGGTTTTTTGTGCTCACTTTCTGTTCAGTGTGTTTAGTTTTATAAAGGCATCGAAGATTAATCGATACCTAATGCATACTACTTAATTAGTAGTCCCATAGCGAGTGCAATGTTCACAGGTTGTTGGAATAATGCACATTCAGAAGCCAGCATCCTAGCGTAAGTGAAATGTGTCAGGATTATGCTGCGTACTAATTACTACTGCAATTCAACTTGAGTAATCCGTTCCATTGGAGGTTTTAGTTGAGAATTTCGGTTAATGTCTCGCGAGTAAGGCCATACACTGTTGGTGTCCAATCTCATCGCTGATAGAAGCTAACAGGCGAGTTTCAGGAAGCAGTTCGGAGGCAGAGACTCGGACAGTCGATTCGGACGCGGGAGTGAGAAGAGATAGTGAGACCGATACAAGGACATCCATCCTCATAGCTGATCATTGCATTCCTAACTAGTAATAAATCTGCATGCACAACTAGCGGCATAACTCGGCCACTCTCAGGATTGAGAGTCAGACTGCAATGGCTCCTTAATGTGGCCTTTACGACACTCACCCACATGGGATCCGAACCCACCCCGCAATAGTCTGTTTGGGGACCAGGTCGTGTGTGGCACGCGTAGGTGGTTCGTTTAGCCTTTTCGGCCACCCCACCAACGTCCATCCCCGGTCGTTTTGACATTACCTGGCCACCAGTACAAGGGAGAAGCGAGTGAGGTAGATGTTACGCAAGTCCACCTCGCCATAAACTTATTCACACGCTAGTTTCCGATACCCACTTCGTGGAGCCCATGGTGAATAGTCTGACTGTCGCTGTTACCAACTAGCATGAACGTGCAACCAATCCGATTTATTGACATAGAGGTGAAACGGTCAGGTTTCTGTGTCCAATTGGAAAAACATGCATGGACGAGGGGGAACTGAAAACAGCGTCTCTGGTCGAAAGGCATGCGAGGTGTCTATGTCAGCATAGCAGAAGAGTCGGAGGTGAAGGGGACAAAACCTGGCTGTTCACCTGCCGTGGCACGTTGTTTTCCCGATTGCGCGTTACACCAGCTGGCAGGTCTTGCGCGGTAGCTGCAGTGCCCTGATAGCGGCCTTCAGAGAGCGTGACACAGGATCGCCTAGACATAGTTCAGCCAAGACAGGACATGGACCAACCCCTGCATCTGCAATACTAATTGCCCAAGGAGGGACTGGAAGCAGCCATAGCGCCCTCCGACCGTTGCTTGGTTCTAGCTACGAAGTATTAGGCTCTGCGGGCACACATCCACTCAGGGGCCGTGGGATTCAAAGCTGTCGCTTGTGCATCCGCCTTTGATCAATAAATGGGCATACTTTGAAGTCACGGATTGCCGCGTTTACGTCCACTGAACGATCAGGCACCTCCAGGTGGACCAGGGCAGCGCTTGGAATGAACTCGGTCGTATGCTGACCAAACCAGCCTGAACATTCTTTACGTCTCCTTCGCGAAAGACATCTAGTCGTTTGGCTAAAATAACCTGTTCCAGAAGAATGAGCGAATGAGTAGCTGCATATAATTGAGGTCTTAAAGATCACCCTTACGCTGTCCACACTCTTTCCGTCCCCATCCTACCACAGTTGCTTCGCAGTTTTCACAGCAACCATCCGGTGGCTCACGAACGAAGCTGTTTGAAGACTCTCCTCGAACGGATCCAAACTCATTGCAGGAGACTGGAGGAAAGAGCACACGAGGCCCGTTATATGTGCCACCAGTTTGTGCAAAATGGCTATCCAAAGCATCCTACGCGGTTGCCCCCAGAGAGCCCAAACATCAAAGCCATCAGCGATATAGCATTCTCTATCATTCATCAAGGACGTTTCAGAAGCGACCGAGCGCATTGCTGCGGAGTTAGGTGTCAGAATTGCACACCGTCTCAAAGCCACTATGCGCAGTAGGTTCATCAAAATTAAAGACCGGTTAAAGCCCGAGGAGCAATTTGAGGTGGTGTATTGCATCCCGTGTCAAAATTGTTCTTGTAACTACACAGGGCAGACTGGGCGCATGCTCGGATCGCGCATATACGAACATAAGCTGGCTGTGCGACGAGGCGACGCATTATCACAAGTGGCCGCCCACACCTACGAAATCGGTTACGAGTCTAACTTCGCAACCACCAAAATAGTCGCTCACGCAGGAAACAAAACAGGCCGAGAATTGATTGAGGCCTGAGCCCCGGATGAGAACTCGGTCAGTCGATTTATCGATCTGGCGCCGGCGTACAGAGCCCTACGTATTCACCTCCAGTCTTGCGCTGTCGGCCGATGATTGGCTTACACGTCCTATAACTGTCGCTTGTTCTGGTGCTGCTACGATCTCTGACGATGGGCTCCTGCACGAGTTCGAAAGCTCAGGACAATAAACAAAATGTTCCGGCGCTCGACACTTCTTCTTTACTTCTACATACACTTGGAACTTGAACTTTCGCCTTCACAGTTGCTTTTTTTCTACTTGTCACCTTTCTGGCAATTCATGTCTTCATAACAGCGTTGATGCTGCATATTGAAAAAGCGCATTTACCCAAACTAACTTGACTATTTGCCTTTTCATAATCAGGAACACTTTTTAGCAGTTCGGTCACCTGGTGTGGCGCGCGCTATTCGGAGGTGGTTTATTTATGTTGCAGTTGCATGTCAATGTTTCGAATTCGACTGCAACTGCGCAGTCGGTTGAAGAGCGATTCTAGGTCATTGTTAACAGGAAACTCCGCACTCAAGTCTATAACCCAAGCTCGCGGCATCTAAATTCCTCCTGGGCACCGTACCTTATTAAAGGTTCACTTTACGGGGCGACACTACGCAAGCAGTCCCCTTTTAGAAGAAGAAGAAGAAGAAGAAGAAGAAGAAAGAAAGAAAGAAGGAAGAAGAAAGAAGGATGAAGAAGAAGAAGAAGAAAGAAAGAAAGAAAGGAGGAGGAGGGAGAGGAATAATTCCAATCCTTTGATGTTTCGGATTCTCACTCAAAGCCATCATCAGAGACAACCACCGATAGGGGGTAGTAGACGCGTGGGAGGGACAGTACTTATGAGATGCAGTTGATATGCGATAGCATACTTACTTGAACTTCGTAATGCTCTGATCGTGCGCCACCTATCCGGCCTCGATGATGTCACGGGTTGTAGCCCTCCACGCTTGACGATCCGTGGCGACGAATCTGAACACTACCCTTTCCCCTCTCCACTGGCGAAGACCCGTTACCGGAGGCCCAAACAACGCTTGCATGCCTTAACAAACTGCGTCGAGGCAAGTTTTGAGTCGACCTCTTCGATGCCTCCATGTAGACAGCTGCGCCAAATCGCAGGCTACAACACTGAGTTCGTGAGGCGGACTACAAAGAACGGGCGCAAACCACTTCAGTCGTCTTTTTTGGATGGTTTGGGATATTCTCGCGATGTCGCAGCCAGTACAGACTGTCTCATTTAAAACGAAATCGGTGTACTCTGCTGGAAGGATGGACCTCAGGCAGCGGTAGTCAGATACATCCATTTTGCCCATACATAACATAGTTAGCGACTGTCCAATTCGTCATCGGCAGTCGTAATTTGTTGTAAAGCAACTGCGTCCTGTAAATACTGCACTCCTCCTGTGTGTATATCTCTCGCATCTGTGGCTGTCGTTGATGATGAATTCGGAGTCAGAATCCGAATCGTCAGGCGATTAAACGTCTTGTTACAACGGTCGCATCTCAACGGCGTCCCGCAGCTCGTCTTTTCGCTCCTATCAGCAAGCAGGCCTTTACATAACTGCACTTTTGTTGCTGTGTATCGGTTCAGGTGCGTGGGCTCACTTACATACAGCACTTACCATACAGCGCTTTCCTTCCACTGGATTAAATTAATGCAAATCACATTCTGTGCCTATTCACTTAACACTCGGAACCGCCACTTCTGTTGGTCTCCTAGGGTTGCGCCTAGATAATCGAGGACATAGATGAGATGGTGCCGGCAAAGACAAGGGAGACCGGAATGGCCATTTCTGGCTTATTAGCTGTCATCAGCCAGTCATACCCAACCCCAAGTGTGGATCACCTGAGATTCGAACCCAACCACTAGTCGCTGTGCGACTGCCTGCAAGGGTTCTAGTATGAGCCCCAAGGCACAACGGAACGAGCATGTTCCGTAACCTGATCGGTGCGTGCCCACTGTCATAATCGAGGATATCTCTCAGGACGGCCACGCAGCCTGACGGCTGGCCGAATCCTCCTGTTAGGTGCCTCCCTGAACAGATTGCTGTAGTCAGGTCTGAAAACTAGCTGTTCTGCTTTTGGGGTAGACTGCCCCCCCCCTGAGGGTTTCTGATTGTGCTGGCTCTCGTAGCAATGGCGTCTGCTGTTCTAGCCTGATGTCGCGCTTGAGTATGGGCGCTCCGTTTTGCCTTGTGGTCGACAGTCCACAGTCCTCGCAGGCGATCACATACCAATGTACAGACAGCAATTGATTAGTATTACCGACAAGGACTGGTTCAACTCATATTGACCAACCTATGCAAAACTCAGCGCCTCGGTGGGATTCGAACTCACGACAGCAAGAGGGAGGCTTTAGTATTGCCAACGCTCTAGCCACCTAAGCTACGAGGCCACACCGGAAGACGTGAGTTTAATCACATTTTAGTCAAGTTACCCGCCCATCCAAAGCATTCATGAATTACGTGAGCCTGGTATTCATCTGGTGGATTCTAGGTGGATTACTTAGGAAATCCTGCTTGGTCAGTCAGCTTACTGTGTCAGATTTGGTGGATTCCAGACGTTGCAGTAGGCTGGGCGGGTAACTTGACCCAAATGTGATTAAACTCGCCCCTTCCGGTGGAGCCTCGTAGCTCAGGTGGTTAGAGCATTGGCTGCGCCAAAGCCTTCCCCTTGCTGTCGTGTGTTCGAATCCCACCGAGGCGCCGAGTCTTTCGCAGTTGGGTCAATATGGATTATTCAAAATTTGCCAAAACATCTATGAATTGCTTCAACTGGCAGGGCGTCTCGCCTATGATGGGCCGCCTTTCCAGTCTCAGGTCTGCACGGACTGGAGTCCAGACATATCTACAGTCTGCATTTTCTTTGGCCGCAGTATACTGTCTACAGTGTCTGACCTATCGTGAAATTTTGACCGAAATTCTGAAGCCTGTATAAGAGGTTACGTAGGGGATGGTGTTATTATTTGGAGACGTCAGCAGCGCAACAGGGTTTCGCAGGTTAGCACGCCAGGGGACAGAACCGACCGCGCTTTTGAGGAAAAATTAAGCGGGAGCCACGAAGACATGCAGTGCGTGACCGATCTCATAAAATGCTGGCCGAAATTCTGAAATACGTTTTGGACGAGGAAGGATTAATAAGGTGGCGTTGTAATATTATGTAGCATAATCCTATAGTATTTCGGACTCGCCAGGATGTCGGCTTTTGAATGCACTTATTTCTGATCTCCCGCAGAAACCGAACTCGGTAAAAAAAAAATGACTACTTAATTACCATGCATTTCTCACTCCTATTTTGGATGGTCTTATAAATCCAAATATATTTTGCAGAAACCATGCATGATAATATGTTTCACTGTCTTCACATTTTATAGCCGAAAAAGTGTATATTTATTTTTTGGGATAGTTTCTATTTATGAGGTTTTTATGACCGTACGATGTCTATATACACATCATGGCACGTGCCCGTTTACCAATGTTCCTCTTGAAGTGTACAACATAGCCCGTATCCATTGCAAAATTTTAAGAACTCTATACAGTATCTTCTGAAAGGCATAGAGGAATATGTGATTTTCTTTACGCGGGACGCATGCAGCATGTAGACTGAAATCGCTAAACACTAATGCAACGACTGATGAGTCTCAAAATTATTCGGGAATTAGGAAACTTTTTCAAATCCTAAATATCTACTTTTTCGGGTATGAAATTTAGAGAAAATGTGATTTTCTACCAAACAAGTAAAAGAAAGCATATTTTTGTGCATGTTTTCAATAAGATATTTTTGAATTTGTATGACCATACAAAATAGAGGGGAAAAATGCATGCTTATTAAGTAGTCATTTTTACCGGGTTCGGTTTCTGCCGGCGATTAGAAAGAAGTGTATTCCAAAGCCGACATCCTGGCGAGTCCAAAGAACTATAGGATTATGCTACATGACAATTACAACGCCACCTTATTAATCCTTCCTAGTCGATAACGTATTTCAGACTTTCAGCCAACATTTCATGAGATCGGTCACGCACTGTACCATTGGCCAAAAATGTGGTCCCTTCACACGCACGTGAGGAAGCAGGCACTTGTGGCAAGAAGCAGAAACCTCCCCTTACTCGTAGCTACACTAACTGGCCCATCTCATGAAATGTTAATCAAGATTCTGCAATTTGTTGTCGATTAAAAAGGATTACTTAGGTGGACTTGTCATATCCATTACCCTGCAGCCTAATCCCCAGTCACACCAGGATTCCGCCTTTTGAACTAGCCGTCGCCTGCAAAAACCACACTCGATGAAGACTGACCGCTGATTTTCGATGCTGTTATAAATTTAAATATATTTTGCCGAAAAAATGCACGGAAATTTTCTTTCTTACATTAATTTGGTAGAAAGTTATGCTTTCTTTAAAGAGGGGGGCATCTTTTGGTTTTAAAAAGTGTGTAATTATGAGTTTTTTAAGACCGCAAAGCTTCAATTTACACAGCATCGCATCTGCCCGTTTATGAATGCGACAACTGTGTGTCGTCGCGGAGAAATTAAAAGTCACTTTCTCAGCATCCATGTAGTTACCGATGTCAGCCGTCATCTTGGTGTGGCAGACATAAATCTGGTCGATACTAGTAATAATTATTAAAAATTATAAACTGTTGAGCACTCGTGTTTTTACTGTCGGCAAGACAGGGCAATAGAAACCCCATACTTCGAGGGTCTTGTGCTAATTTCCAGGAAGATGAGGGTTAGGGTTAGGACGCGGGATACTTACGTCTTCCGAAATTGCACGCAAGCCTACCTGTATTACCAGGGGCATTCCCGTCCCTGTGTCTTACCGAACTGGCCAATGAAAAAAAATATTCACGAAAAATCTCATCACGAGTAAGTGACCGACTTCTCCTTATGTTAATGCTTGCAGCTATTTTGTACGCTCGCTTATTGGTGGCGTCCAAGTATTGGGGAGGCAGTGAGATATGAAAATGAGGAAACACCCAAAAAGAAACTCCCGACATCGGCAAGATTCACCGAAAAAGGTATAAAAGGAATGTGATTAGTGAGGGCTTTAAGGAAAAAGAACTGTCGCTCATAGGTCTGAACGAGACTGTGCCGCACTACTAATGAGAGCATATGGGGGTTCCGGACATTCGTCTTCTTCGGAGGGGAGGAATTCTTAATCACGCAGAGAATAATTCAATATCCAAAACGCCATGTATGCAGTCATCATACTTCTTTGCTGACAGGGCAAGGCGGTGAAACAGAAGAGCAAACCACCATCGTCAATAGCTTAGCTTAGGGGCGAAACATGGAGTTGACGTTAAATCCCACGAAGATCTCCCCTGCAGCGAGCTCTTTCCCTGATGAAATAAAAGCAGCCTCAGTTTCTGCGTTTTGTTTGTTGTGCTTTCTTTCCATGACCCCACTCAGTGTTGTTGCCTCCCTAGTTGTCTGAATTTAGGGCTGAAACGAAGGAATTAGAGCAGCCACTCCCCGCGGCAAATGTGATTCCGTGTGCTTTTGAGCAGCAGTTCTGCGATAAATAGCGAAAAAGACAATAATCCAAAGGTTGACAACTATTTGGTGCACTTGGAAGAAGTTATTGTACCTTCTGAGGCATCAAAAGAAAGTCAAGGGAGATAATTCATTTTAGAGTGATTTTTCGTCATCAACGCTTTTTTAAGGGGAGCTTTTTTAGCTTGCGAGCTTTCGGATTAAATCCACAGCTCATGGTTTGTCATGCGCCACATTGAGCATTCAACCCTCGCAGGCGACGACATTTACCGCGTGCCCTGCGGAGTAGACACAACGCCGATTGCGTGCGCGTGAATTGTAGTGAAGTAGACTTGCGAAGCATCTACAGCACACCCTCTTTTCTCTCCGCCGCCTTGGTCCGATTGCAACATAATGTCAAGACGACTGGAGGTGAGCGAGGACGCAGCCCGTCTACACGTGCCGTGTGCGACCTGGTCCCCACCACACGTGCCAATACCCTGTGAGAGCGACTCGTATCTCACATGACTGACAGGGTCGTAAAGGCCATGTTAGGAGGGGCCACGACTTCTGATAGCGCTTCAGCTTTATTGTAGCGAGGGATGCACTGACATGCCTTTAAGATGGATTCCCAGTGTCGGCCTTTTTCTCTCTCCCTTCCCCTTTTCCATCTCCCATGTTCGAGCCGCTCTATCAACTGGTGATGGGACTGGGCACATTGGCTGACGTCGCCTGTGGGCCATAAGGGTCGTGCCATAGTCCAGCGCATCTACAGCGCCGGGCGTTTTGAAGGGGATCTGCGCTGGGCGAGACCACACTGAACGCAAAACTAGGAACCGAGTCTGGAGAAGTACAGACCGTTCGCCCAGAGTGGGTTTGTTTTTCCATCGAAAAGCCAATGTTGTCAAGTCAAACGAGCGCAAACTATCTTCCTTTTCTTGGCATGTTCTCAATTCATGCGTTCAATCCCTACCGAACACATCTTCTCTCGCGTCACTGTTCATGCCTTAGCAATGTCAATAACCTTAGTGAATGGCTTAATTTCGTGAACCTCCTGTTTTAGACCGCTTAAGGTCTGTCTGTTAGGATTGAGATCTGGCAAGACTATGGATGGGGGGGGGGTCTTGGAAGCGAGCTTCTGTTTTGAAAGCTTGGGGAAGGACACGGCCATCCTGGAGGATGCACCACGATGTCCCTGATCAGTCGCAAGGTTATCGCTTTCGCTATTCCCCTGTGCTCTTTTGATGTCATCCTTTTAAGGGGGGAAAAACCAAATCGTTGGGTGCATGCAGAGACCCTCCGATCGCATCCCATTAACCCTTTGTATAATTGCTGAGCGCCACTTCTGTGGCAGTTGACCGGTATTCACCTACGCACGCAGCCTGTCGCCGCACTTGGAGGCGAGATTTATGTCTCCAGCCCGCACGCTCGCTGTGTCGACTTTTTCAAGCATATTCAAATCCTGCTCTTCGGTGGCTGGAACTGAGTGAAGAAATGGTCTGTGTAGAATGACTGAAGCAGGCTCTGCTCTGTGCTTCTTTTTGGCAATCGCGCATCCATTCTCAATCTAATCCAACTGTAGAACTTCCTGCAACGCCCTTACTCACCGTCGAACGAAAGCAGAGCCCAAAACCCACTAGAAGTGCCTTGAAAGATGCGACGTGTCAGTAGTCCCTACCCCTGCTTTTCCTCACACACTATGGTATCTGACCGTTTATCAATGCTGCTCACGAAGTATGGCGTGACATGAAGTACATGGCATAGTCCACGTTCATAACAGATTTTTATGAGCCCTGCACCGTGTCTTAAGCGTACAGAAATGTATGCTTTTCCTTACACGCAAGGTATACTGCACGGAGATTTGAAACCCTGGGCGCAAATGAAACTGCAGGTCGGCTTCAACATTGCACGGAAATTGTAAAATTTCCCTGAAATCGAAAGATACCCCTTCTTTAATCGTAAAATTGGAAGAAGACGTAATTTTCTGCCAAATGAGCATAGAAAGAGCACTTCTGTGCATGTTTCCTATGAAATATATTTTAGTTTATAACGGCATCGAAAATCAATGGGAAAAATTCGTATCACACAACTGGTCATTTTTTCCTGATTGTGGATTTTGCGGGCGACCGAAAATATCCTGGAATTATTCTGCACGATAATCAATATTACGACCACACGTTAATATTTCTCTTTAATTAATACCGCATTTCAAAATTTTCGGATGAGGAAAGGGCTTTTGTTCTGGATCATAAGTGCCTGCCTCCTTACGTTCGTTTGAAGGAACACATTTTATGGTCAATAGTATGTTCTCTTAACGACCTAGTGTTTCCTCAAAAGCGCACGCCTTCCGCAAGATCGGTTTTTTCCACCTAGTACGCCAATCTGCAAAACTTCTTTGGACAGCTAACATCTTCAAAAAATAGACGAAAGTATTGCCGATGGAAGCGAACAGGCGAGTTCCAGGAAGCAGTTCTGCGGAAGAAGAATATGCGATCACTGGAACAGGAAGTTTATTGGCCTGACGTTTCGGATTCTCACTCGAATCCCTCATCAGAGACGGTTGCAGATAAAGGTCGCCATATCGGTATACTCCACCCCTGTGTTACCTTAAAAAGTAGTATCCTTTCATTATTTTGCCAGAAAAACCATTTTCCGCTCAAGATATCGCCCAGAACATTATAAACATTGACTTCTTTAAAGTAACGTCGAAGAGTCTCTTCCGTACATCGGGAGAATTCGTCCAACTGTTCTTACGGGACGCTATTATGAGCAGTTTCTCGCACCAAAAATTAAAACTCTAATAACAGCGCACTCTTATGACCGCTCGACCATCGCCAGTGAGGACGTCCAACGTGTACCGCACGGAGCAGTGGACGCAGCACCGGTGTCTTACAAATGAATTATCTTATACACGACAGTTCGACCGTCGGTTTCGACGATGTCAAACGTGTGGTCCACAGTAGGGGTGAGAGCAGGGATGGCGACTTGTGCGCAAATTTAGTTTATAATGATAGTGGACTTGCACGGCACCTACCGCGCTCTCTCCTCCACCACCTGGGCCGGGTGTCAAGACAGAGTCAAGAAGACCGGAGGCAGGGGAGGACGCGGGTGGATGGCGCGGTCGAGCCCGCACCTTGGTGTTCCACTCCACACTCCCTGGTCCACACAACAGATAGCAGGATTTTTGATTCACAACATGGCCCCTTTGGAGGGCACGAATTACCTTATAGTGAGACAGACTTACACACTACCTACCGCACTCTCGTCCCCCGCCTCCCCTCGTCCACCTGGCCCCGTTGGCAAGGCAGTATCAAGAGAACCAGAGGTGGGGGCGAACGCGGTGGCTGACAAAGCCCAACGGTCCGTCTACGCGTGCTACACACCTACCGGTCCCCCAATATTGGCCTCATTCTCTCTTCGCTCTCTGAGCCTGCCAACCAGCTGGTGACTGAATTAGCCTTCGCCTTGCAACTACGCCACTCTAAGAATCATATGATCACTGCTCCCGAGCTTTCGTTACACGCAGCCTCTGAGACAGCCAATCACAGACGCCCACGGCGCCTACTATCACTCAATCGAGCTGACGCCGACTGACTTTCACGTGACGCTTATTTAGTCGCGCCTACGTCGCCCTACTGGACGGACGTGCGCGCGCGCGCAGGTCCAGTGCCGGCCGCGTCCGGGTGGCCTGACCATCACCTGGCTTCTTTACTGAAAATACACTCCTCCTACCGGGCTCTTTCCCTCTCTCCTCTAAAACGGAATTGGACCGTGATTCTTGTGGCGCTCTGAGTACACACACACACACCACTGATTAGATGTCACAATGTTAGAATGTGTGAACGGTTGTCGACCGTGATACAAAAAGTTCGGCTTTGTGCCATCTTCATCAGTAAGATGTGGATGTCTGTGGTTAGGATGCCCGGCCGAGGCCCTCGAGAGCTCACGATCCTGGAGCTCAGGTCCAACTTCATGCTCCATCAAAACGGCTCACGCAACTCCTCTGGTGTAGACAAGGTGTGGTGACCGCCGAGGAACTAGGTGAAGGAACGTCTGCGCTAGGACATGTTGATTGTTGTCGGGGATTGGAATTACTGTATCTTTCTTGGAGACTTCAAACGGTCACTTTACTTGTCGCTTTTAGGCATGATCCTCGACGCGACAGTGGTGAAATCTGGCCTTATCTGCCTAGACGTTATCGATAAAGGCTTCGTGGGTGTTATGGCAGGCTTCGTTTAATTCACTTTGACCCAATTGCGAAAAACTTGGTGCCTCGGCGGGATTCGAACCCACGATTGCAAGGGGAGGCTTAATTACAGCCACCGCTCTAGCCACCTGAACTACGAGGGCGCTCACCGATCGTTCTTACGGAACTCACTCGTCCCGTTGTGCCTTTGGGCTCTCTCTCTCGAGCCCAACCAGTAGCCGCGCGCCGGCGCGTACTATAGGCCCTAGGTGTTCCATACTTCGAGGTTGGGTTTGACTGGCTGACGATGACTAGTAAGTCAGAAATGGCCTTTGCGTTTGTCAGTAGTGCTATTCAGCCTAATGGCTTCCTACATCGCCGCAAACATCTTTCGACCTGGTATTCACATGATCGTTGTACGGCTATCTACCTTGACTGCACTCTAGCCAGCTCACGGTTCCGTAACTGGGCTCATGATGGTCAACTGGCTCAACTGGTCAACTGTCGATGCCAAGGGTCACGCCAACTTCTTTTTTGCACACGCTTGACGGTTCACCTCTCATCCTTCCCCAAGATTTCTCATGCCAGGCGTCATGTTACAAAATTACGGCAATTCAGTACAGCCGAGACTCTGTGCGCCTAAATCCAGTCCCGCTTTGCAGTCTGAATCGAAGAAGGCGGTAACAACTGATCATCATTGAGATCCTGAGTTCGCAAGGCCGCAACGAGGATTCTGTGGCTCACACACAGCCTTTCTGCATGACTGAATCAGCTCAAGAATCCTACAGTTGTCTATCCAGTCAGTTCGAACTAGGTCGCACCACGATAATTCCCTCCGCCAACTCCGGAAAATGACAGTATAAATTCGGTTAGAGATGATCAGAAAGACTACTGGGTTGAAGCGGCGACCCCCTGTGGAGCAGGCCTCAAACGCCAGTGGCACTCCAAACTGTCATGTTATTAGCCTACTCCGTGGTATGTTCTCTGCACTGTGAGTGACGACTTTGCTGTTGACAACTCGGCAAGATTAAGCGCTGACGTGAGCACTTCTATGACTAACTCATCACCTCTTTCTCCCCTCCAGCGTATCTGAGAACCGTGCATTGAATGGAGTACACTCACTGCGTATTGACTGAGACAGTCTGCACGCTTTGCGACTGCATCGCCAGGATATCTGAGTGCGGCTATCCGAGAAAGACGATTAAGGTTGTTTTGGCATGTTCCACCGGAGAAGTTCAGTGTCACTGCTGTTGGTCCGGCGCCAGGGGGGGGGTCAATGTGGTCTGCTTAAAACCCCGCCCAACATACTCCGTCCGAAAGTGGAAATGGTTTTTGAGCATTTTTGCTTGGTCTGCGTCACAGGAGAACCGGAAGAGAAGCTCAACTTCTCCAGTTCCACTGACGCAGATCGTCACGCGTGGTCGGGTACAATCCACGACATAGTCGTGACCACCATTTCAGTCATAAGCATATCTGAACTCAATACGAGTTAGTGCATTTCACTTCCGCGAGGGAAGTACCACAAAAGACTCTTGTAGCAGACCGGGCATGATCACGCGTCTCGGGCAGTTTCTGTCTGCTTTTTCAGCGCTGATATGTTTTGTGTTAAGGGTACCTTGAAGAAGGAGACACGATCGCTAGAACAAGAGATTTATTAGCCTGACGTTTCGGATTCTCACTTGAATCCATCATCAGAGGCAGCCAGATATGGGTAGCGTGGCTCCATCTTCACGACTGTTTCCTGAAACTTGCCTCTTTGCTTCTATTAATCCCTCCTATCGTTGTTGGGCAATAAATTGGTCCGCTTAACGCTGTTAACCCCCTATTCTCCCGGCAGGTTCGACCAAAGCGCGCCGACTCTAGTCTTCTTATCGTCCTGAAACTTGGTTATTTTTTTACTCACCAGCCATTGGTTGTATGGGACGGCCTATTTAAGGAATGGTGTTATGCATATCCTGGATTCAATGGTAAATGTCCACATCTGCAGCGGCCCGCGTGGAGTCAGACCCTGTTGAATTTCAAACACCAATCGCATGCCGTCAGACCGATACGGCTTATAACCTTTTTCCAATGCGGCTGAAGAGCCAGCCGGAGACCCAGCTGTTGTCATTGTTAGGCGTCATCGACCTCCAGAAAGTTAAAACAAACGGCGCGAACTCTAGTTCTCCATTCGTCCATAAACCCAATTAAGTCGTGGCTCGCTGGCGATTGGTTACGTGTCGCGGTTCGGTGGGGCTTCCTGTGTATCGCGGATTCGATGGTGGATGTCTTTGCACACACCCCCTACGACACACTGACTTTGCGACGCCGGATGAAACCTTGTTGGCCTGTGGGCAACATTCGCATGGCGTAACGCCGATACTGCTTATGGCTTTTGTAATGTAACCTATTTGCCGGAACGGTATTCAGCCACGCATGAAGGCGTTACCTCTGCGTGAGACTACTGCTTACTCATCAGATTGGAGAGTCCGTTTGTCTGGCAGTTAATCTTCGCTGAGGACTGTCTCACTGTCCACCACCTGCTTATGCGCCCGTTAGGTTGTTGACCTCCTGTCCTCCCGGTAGTTTCCAAACGTAACTGGCACTCTGTTGTTTTGCGGGTTCTTGTTGATCTTAAAGTGGGCAGGAAATCAAAGCCACTGGGGGGGGGGGCACTAGCTAGTTTCTGTCGACCCCTAACTTCCCACCGCCGACTGGTCAACCACCGATAAATATGTTGGTCTTTTTTTCTGTTTTTGCTTACTCAGACACTGGCTTATCATTCCTCCTTGCCCTATCCCGCTTTGTTGCGTCATGCTTTTAGGTTTCTCACTGGTCCGCGGGACCTCATTGGCCTCTGTGCTGCCCACCTCCCAGTCCCTACGATCTTCCTGCCCGGACAGTCGGATGCGGGCCTCCAAGTTGTCGCCTACCGGGCACTCCGTATGACCGTGTGCCTCCTACTTGACGGTAACTGCCAACATCTTGTGATGGGGGCATGAAAAATGGGCCAGTCATACTCTTTAGGATTCTAGGCTAGCTTAAAGACTCCTTTTTCTTTCCTGACCTGCTGATCGGCCTGCGTCGCATTATACCGCTCATTCTGCGGGTCTACTTATTCTGTCGCATGGCAGAATACCGAAAAAGGTAGTGGGGACTTGGGTGGCCATTTCTGACTTGGTAGACATGATCAGCTGGCCGCAACCAACTCAGGGTCTGCTGGACTTGAGATCTGAAGTCGATTTCTTCGGTCATTAAGCGTTTTAAAGTCAAACGCTCTAACATCGTGCCATGGACCCCTTGTCCTGTTGGTGGAATTGGGAATACATACTAAGGGCTGAGGACGTTAACCGATCAAGTTAGGTGACGTAATCGTACCGTTACGTCTTGGTGCTGAATATGGAGCAGTATATTACGTCGCTGCCTTCCCGCGTCTGTCTACGCATTCTGCACGGTTCTAGAGTGGTTACTGAAAGGGAGCCAATTCCACCCCGTTGGGGACACTCGGATAATTAAAAAAAATCCAGACTAAGTGAAAAACCGTTAGACATTTCAGTCTCCTGAATTGCCTCTATCAATCACCCCCTCCTTCCTCCTCCACATGAGCCCGGTGGCAAGACACAGTCAAGAAAGCCAGAGGGGGAAAGGGCGTAGTGGCTGACAAAGCTAGGCAGCACTTCGACGCGTTCCGTACACGATGGACTAAGATTTCTCTTAAGCATTGAGAGGACGTGTAGCGGCCAACTATCATGACCGGTCCGGCGTCATTGTTCAAGACCTCGCTGTCTCAAGGTCATTCATCCCTTGCAGCGAGCCGTCCCAGACGAGCTGACCTGAAGCCACTCGATCGACTTCAGCTCATACACAATTGCGTCCACACAGCGTCGCGGCTACCCATGCGCCATTTGAACGCGCCTGCTCCCGCAACCCTCAAAACAAGCCACTGGGACACCACCCCTCGGCAAATGCAACACACACTGACTGGACACCACTTGAGCTTAGCCCACGAGCCTACAAAACTGTCTGCCGCTACTGTCCCAATGACTCTCAGGCCTGACTAGACGCAGTCTACACCAGTCGCTAGTGACCACCGCCGCCTGAGAGGACAACTCCGGGTTCTGTGCACAGTAAAACCTCGCATTCTGGTGCCTTCCTTCTCCTTCCAATCTAGGATTTGCCCTGATAATTGTAACTCATAGACCACACATTCTCACTGCTGTGTCGCTACAGACGTCCCGGATCCAAACCGATTGCGCGTGCCATGAAGGCCACAGTAAGAACCATTGCAGACTGACTCTCTGTCCTGAGGAGGGGACCGAGCTATTCCATCAATTGGCAGTCTAACGGCGCTTAACGCAGCGGGACAGAGTCAAGCGCTTCAGATAGTTTATAGGCGCTGAATGCCAGGAGAACAGTCCTCAGAGTCAACCTCACTAGCTCTCTTCTCACCTAGACACTTGTCCATTGCCTGGGCCGGTCAGGTGCGGGATTCGATGCAATGGCTGACTGAGCTGAAAACGGCCTGTCTGCGCGTGCCACACACAGCCCCCGTAACAAAGAGGCGGGTGTCTCGTTTCTCACATGCGTGAGAGTGCCATATACAGTAAGTGGGCTAACTCATGAAATGTCGGCCGAAATTTCGAAATGCGTTCCCGTTTCGAAAGGGTTGTAAAACTAATCATCACGCAGTATCACTCTATAATAATTCGGTTACCTCAGGGTGCTGGCTTTCGAATGAACTTCTTTATGACTGCATGCGAAAATTACACTGTAAAAAATGACTACTTAAGTAGCATGCAATTTTCTTATTGATTTTCGATGCCCTTAAAAATTCAATTATGTTTCATGGAAAACATGCATAAAAATATCCATCCTTCTTCCAAATTTATACCCGAAAAAGAAGTATATTTCGGCTTTAAAATGTTTCTAATTGTAAGATATTTTAATATAGTGAAATGGCCGTTCATAAAACGTCATGTCTCTGCATTTACTAATGTGGCTTGTAAAGTCAACAATATGGTTCAAATCCACTGCTCAATTTTATGAGCCCCACACGGTCTTCTCTTAATACCGTATAGAAATGTATGGTTTCCCATACCCAGAAAATATACGACTTGTAGTTTTGAAACCCCGAATGCAATTGTAACGGCAGGTCGGGTTCAAAATTATTCGGGAATTGGAAAAGTTTTTGAAAACCGATTCATACCCTCCTTTCGAGTATAAAATTGGAAAAAGACGTAATTTTCTACCGAAAGCGTGAAAGAATGAATATTTTTATGCATCTTTTCTATGAAATATAATTGAATTTTTAAGGACATCGAAAATCACTGAGAAAATTGCATGCTACTTAAGTAGTCATTTTTTGCAGAGTATAGCCCTTGCCTTCAGTCGGGAAGAAGTTCATTCGAAAGCCGGCACCCTAAGGTAACTGGATTATTGTAGAATTATGCTGCAAGATGATTAGTTTTACAACTCTACTTAAGTAATCTTTTCAAAATGAAAACGAATTTCGAAATTTCGGTTGACATTTCATGAGTTAGCCCACCTACTGTAGGTCACATTAAGACGGAGCCATTGCAGCCTGAATCTCAGTCCACCATTTGGCCACCCACGAAAACAAATGGCGCTGCAAAGATTGTGGTGGCCTAAAAACTGAAGTGTTCAGGAAGGCGAGAAATACGACGCAAGTACGGAGATTCGGCTGCAACCACCCAATTAACCACAAACGCAACCGCGTAAAGGCGCCGTATTGGCGTGTTGAGACGCATTACAGTGTTCCGGAAGGTAGGGTTACTGAATGAGGATGTCTTCGACGAGGGCTCAAAGCGAATGCTTACCCGCACAACTTCGTTAACCGGCGCATGCGCAAACGGTACGAGAGACCCAATCCAACTGGCCTTTATAATTTTGGCGAGCACTCACATACGTGAAGGTCGTCTCGGAAACCGTCGGCTGCCTGCTCACTCCACTTGGATGTGGAGTTGCACACAGACCAGAGGTAACTATCAAGTGACAAGTCGTGAGGCCGAAAGACGCACTGCCAGGTAAGGAAACGCCCGGACGCGTTTTCCGTATCTGGTGCAGTTTCTGACAAAACAACTACTTTGGTTGGAGAAACTAGGCGATTGCTCTGGACGCGAATGTCCAATCACGCAGCAGCAGTGAGGAGGAACGATACTCATTTTCAAGTCGCAGCTCATTCGACGGGACCGGACCGCATCTTCAAGTTTGATGAGGCCGAAATTCTCGCGAGGGGCAACAACCGCATGAGCCGCTTGCTGTTGGAGTCATGATTCTCCGGTCCTAAGTCTGTTCAAATGCCCAACAACGTCCCAATCCCGCATTCTGTACTGAGACTTTGTTTGGGCAGAGTCATTAGCCACGAGGGAAGGCGCAGATGACCGACTGTCCCAGTGACAGTGAGCCAAATGGCCGATTCATCAACAGCCAAAAATCAAAAACGGTGGTGAAATCACGACGATGCATGATTGGGGTGTGGACTAACAAGCGATCATCACATCAACTTTGACGCTCCAGCGATGCTAATCTCGCTAGGCATGTGGTTGCACGGCAATTGCGTCCGCCACTTACTTCACTCCTTGTGCTCCCACTATCCTTACCTGCAACTGTCTCAGATGATGGGCTCGGACAAGACGTCAGGTCAATAAACCTCTTGTTCCAGCGATCGCATCTTCGTCTTCTAAGCTGCCTCACAGAACTCACCTCTTCACTTCCATCGGCACAGTTGAAGTCAACCCGTTTGCGCGTACCACGCACTCACACGCAGTACATGGCTGCAAGACACCACACCAGCATTCCACACGAAGGGCTACCGACAAAAATAAGATCACTAGAATGACCGCATCAGACCTATTTCATGTCTCCTTTGCCAATAACCTTTCTAGTCGCGAGGCGGTCATTTGTGTGGGTCCTCTACCAGAACAAAACGCAATTGCGCCGTATTCCGTGCCACAGGCAAAATAGATCGGTAAACACCATCTCTCTTTAGAGCACACCAAACTGGCAGACGCGTAATTTATTCTAGCTTTCTCTCTATCTCCCTCCCTCTTTCTCTCCCTCCCCCTTCTCTCTCTCTACCGACTTTCTAAAACTGTACATTGTCTGGCGTATGTGCGCCGGGCTATCATCTGGCATCAGTGGGTTCTTAGACACTCCACCTGCACAGTAAAAGGAATGCCGTACCCGCACAGGTCGATGAGCCGCCTAGTGGTATGACCTTGTGGCAACTTTAGTACCCTGTCTGTAGCTTTTTTTCTGGACCTAGGGAGGCGCCAGGTCGTGAAATTGCTGTTTTAAAGTGCCCTCGTAAGCTTGCTTGTCCTCCCTTCAATTGATGTTCACTTTTGTCTGACGGCGAATTAGGCAGTCGGGAGCTACCAATGGAGTTCTTTCAGAGCTTTGATGCCACCTTTGGTATCCCAATCACCGCCCTCGCGGTTAACTTGGCCCTCTCCTCTTCCTCCGCCTCCTCCACCTCCTGTGTGGTTGGTTCTGACGTCAGGTAGCAAATTTCGGACTCTCTAAAATGAATTGTATTATTTCAAGCACCTACGTACCCTTTTTTACTTTATGCCACTGCATAATTGCGTGTGTCGCTCGCGTAGTAGATAACAGTCAGCTGTATATGACTTAGCCGGATAAAATAGCCCGATTACTCTGGTCCTCTTCTCGTTGTCTTCTGTTTAAAAGTCGCCTTCTGCTAAATTTGCCAGTTCTCTTTTAACTTCACGCAAAGTTTGGCCGGATTGGTGTCCCACGAGTGCTGAGAGACCCTTTCGTTTGACATTCGTAAAACACACACTTTTGAAGAACTTCTTGCTGCCTATTTTTATTCCCAAACGATCCGAGCTACTGTGTCTCCTACATCAACTTTCTGAAGGCGTTACAAGATGGCTATCTAGTTTTTTTTCTGCCGTCCCGGTCGACGGACCTCTTGTTTCTGGTGCCAATGCCTTCACCGATCAGGTTAATGGGCAAAGCTCGTCCCGTTGCGCCCTGAGGTCCAATCCGGAGCCCTCAGAAGTATTCGCTCCTCTGCGATCAGTTGTATATGCATGGCGAGTGTACCGACAAAGACAAGGCAGACTGAGATGGCAATTTCTGGCTTATCGGTCATCGTCAGACAGCCATGCCGAATCCCAGGCCTGAAGTACCTGCGGATCAAACCCTCATTCTTTGTTCAGCGGGCTTTATTAACGTTCTTTACCACTGATCTACGTGCCCGTTGTCCTTTCGACTAAGATCGGGAATACTATGTTGAAGGGGCATTCACCAATCAGGTTACAGGGCGTGATTGTCCCGTTTTGTCTTATGGCTTAATTCAAAGCCGTCAGTGGCAGTCGCACAGCGACCAGTAATGCAGAAGGAGAGGGAGAGTGAGATTGTCATTTCTGGCCGTCGTCAGCCCTATTGTCGGTCGACCTTAGTCGCCTGCGTCTAGTTAGGTGCAAGCTCTCTTTGGAGGGAGCGGGGATACTGGTAGCCAATGCGCGCCACTTGCAATTTATCCAACTGTCCCCTGCGGGAACACTTATATGTCGCCTCATCTGATCCGCGAGCCATCTGTCCTGTGACTGAGCCTCCCAACACCCGAGATAGTTTGGCTAGAAACCACCGAGTCTGGCTTTAGTGGGTCGTTTGGCAGTTGGCACTTGTGACGCTAAAGTACATAAACTCTCACAGCCTCGAGCGAGTGCGCCGGCGACGTAGTGTGCACTGTCGCGCTGTCAGTGACTCACCGTCTCAATGCCGGATTGCCATTGAGTTACTAAAAACTGAAACGTTTCGTCTCGGAATATTCTCGGGCTCTATTTGTATGTGTCCTCCCCCTGTTACAGGTGACTTTGTCCTAAGTTCCGGAAGAGGTCAGAGTTGGGGTTGCGGCTGTGCCCATACCCAATCTAGCCAGCCTCGATGATGATGTACCGTCCCAGGCAGTAGCGGCTCGACTCATTCTCTTCTCCAGCGATGGAGACGAAATACCGGAGATACAAGAACCACTTCCATGTCTTGATGAACCGTGTCAAGCCAGGTCGTGAGTTGGTCTGCTCTTCGACGTCTCCGGATCGAGGACAGTGGCACTGACCTCATGGGGTTGGCGGCGGAGAACGTGTCCTAATCAGCTCAGTAGTCTCTCTTAGGTGGTCCGAGTTGCCCTCGTGATATTGTCTCATTGAGTGCGGACTGTCTCGTCTACGACAAAGTGAGTATACTTTAATCGGAGGATGGTCCTCAGGCAACGATGGTCAAAGGCCTCTAGTCTTCGCTCATCTAAGCGCAAGGCCCAGCATCCACGGACGGATGCGTGACACACGCGGATCTTTATGGCGATGCAGATGTCGCGCGTCAGATCCATAGGCACTTTCTTAGGATTAGAACAACTCTGCGTGCAGCAGCGATTCGGAAGACAATGTCGCCCTTACTCCGCTCATGGGACTGCAACTTCCCTCGAGGTATTTTGAACTGTCTACTTCTTCTAGTTGACGGCTATGAATCCCGGGGGTTGCTCTCTGGTCAGGAATGCAGCTCGAAAGCAATCTGGTCCTCCCCATCGTTTATGGATACACCGAACGACGTAGTGACTTAATTCACCTGTGACATCACAGGCTGTAAATCGCTGGCAAGACGATATCGTCAACGTAGTCGAGATCAGTCAGTCGGCGTCCGGGCGCGAACTCCACGCCTTCCGAGAATTCAGTCCGTGGTGTAGTTGAACAGAACAGGCGATGGGATGCAACCTTATCGAACACCAGATCGTACATCGAACGTTTGGGATGGATTGTTATGGACGGCAATTCTCGCACTGGTGGAGTGGTAGTAAGGCTTGGTCATGGCGATGATTTTGAATAGCACACCATCTAATTCTATTGTTCGCCACAGGGACTCACGATGAACAGGATCGAATGCGGCAGCAAAGTCAACAAAGCAGACGGCCGTCGGTTGCTGGTAGCTATGGCGGCATTCGAAAATGCACGTCCGTGTCAATACCTGGTCCGTACACCAATTTCCAGTTCGGAATCCGACTTGGTTGCGCCTCGTCCTAGAATCACGCACAAGCTTGAATGTCCTGAGAAAGGCACCAGTGAAGACCTTCGCACCACGTTGATGAGACCTATGCCCTATTGAGTAGTCCAGCTCACATACTATTCGCCCGCACTACTAGACCGGGCTTGCGGAGCCCGTCAGTTCAGGCGGAGGCTGTAGCATGGATCGTAATACTGTATTCGGACACATTTTCATGAGGTTTCTTGAAAAATGCGGGTACGGGCGGGTCTCCAACATCCGCGCGGATTGTTTCTTTGAAGTTGTCTCGTCTAGCGTTTTGACTCTAAAGCCTAACCACAAGGTAGCGGTGGCAAGCGAATTCACTTAAGGGCGGATCACGGTCACGATATCGCATTTCCTCCATCGGCCTCTGTGCCTATTTATAAAGCAACCGGTGAGCCATACAGTAAGTGACCGATCTCATAGAATGTTGGCCGGAATTCGGAAATGCGTTTTCTAGTTGAAAGGATTACTTAGGTGAGGTTGTTATATCGACCATCATGTGGTGTAATAGTTGGGAGTCGCCAGGATATCGGCTTTAGAATGCACTTCTTTTCGACCTCCTGGAGAAACAACACTCGGTAAAAAATGACTCCGCAACCCTGGTCTAGTAGTGCGGACGAATAGTATGCGAGCTGGACTACTCAATCGGGAACGGACTCTTGGTATTAGATGCCAGAATTTGCCAACGCTTCTGCACCCTGGTACCCAAAGTGTCACGGCGCGCAGTCGGCTGCCTGTCTGAAGCCAGAATATGCGACTCATGCGTTAGGGAAATAATGATCCCCGGAGTTTACTCTCACATCACCCTGTACTGATGCGGATCATTCGACTCTTCTTGGAGACAGGGCGTGCTTATCGCCCTCTCGGAACAAACAAAACGTGCACTGGTAGAGGGGCGCTCACCGATCTTTCTTACGGAACTCACTCGTTCTGTTGTGCCTTACGCGCTCTCTTTCGAGCCCAACCAGCAGCCGCACAGCGGCGTATGATATAGGCAGAATGGCACTACCGACAAAGACAAAGTAGACTGGAATGGCCATTACTGGCTTATTAGCCGTCCACAGCCAGTCATACCCAACCCCCAAGCGTGGAACACCTGGTCGGGGAATCGAGCCCCAGGCGTTCCACATTTCGAGGTTGGGTATGATTGGCTGACGACGGCTAACAAGCCAGAAATGGCCATTTCAGTCTCCCTTGTCTTTTTCAGTAACACCATTCTGCCTAAAACGTGCACTACTTGAATGGGAACCAGTCAACGACCAGATGGCTTATGTGTGACTGAAGGGTCATTTTATGGACATCTATGTTGTCTTCGTGTATGCACCTGTTTTCGAGCGCAAAATGTGATCTCGGCTTGATTGCCTGCGAAATGAGCAGAAGAAAGCATATTTTTGCATATTTTCTACCTCTGTCACTGTACGTCAGCCCTCCGTACCCTGGTAGTATTGTCGCTGCTGGTCCACGACTGCTTATTCGCCAAACCGGATAACCTTCACGTTTGGCGGCTAGCCTTAGTTGGGCTTATGACGGTTATTGTTGGTGTCAGCACTAGGAGGGTTAGGGTTAACGTTAAGACGCGGGAGTGAGAACTCCACTAGAATTTAGCGCAAGGTCACCCGCAGTGCAGCGGGATGTCCATAAAACCGTGTCCGACCGCGTCTTTTTCCATCCTTCGGGTCTTTTCTAGTAGAAGTTGAACTTCCTGCTGCCGCCGTGTTGAGACACATGGCAGTCTCCCTTTTTGCGGCGTGATAAACCTTTGAGACTGTGCGCTCTTTGCAGAATTCCATCTCAATCACATTATAAAATGGGGATTGGCGCATTTGCTGCTGTTAGGTAATCCATTTGTGAGCTCTCTTGCGGCACTCGACATCTTGTTTAAAGCCTCGCGGTAATGGCAATTTGTCTTAACATCGCCTGAAAATGTTTAGGCTTTGTTTGCCTAGTTACTTTATTTGGTGAGCTTATTTTGAATACTTATCTGTCGCCTATGGTCTGCCGTCCCAGGTTAGGGTTCGGATACCAAACTTTACGACATCTACATTCCTTTGCCGGTCCCGCCGTTCGGTATCAAAGGGCACTTGCTTAAGGACTTCTCTGGGGCTGACTTTTAGTGTTGCATTTGTGAAAAACCGCTATGTCGGTAATAACATACTGCCTATATCATGCGCCGCTGTGCGGCTGCCGGTTGTGCTCGGGAGAGAGCCCATAAGGCACAACAGAACGAGTGAGTTCCGTAAGAACGATCAGTGAGCACCCCCTACCATTGCTACGTGACAGTTTTTTAAGCCAAAGCTCTGCTTTACGATTGCAGTTCCTGGAGCAAATTACCAATTAACGTTGATCTGCGTGCTGTCTGGCTGTGCCCTATTAATTAATATTTATAAGTGAATACTACTCTAAAGTCATTAGTAGACGTTTATTTTAAGTCTAACTCGACATCGCTTTCTTGTTTTTAAATCAGTATGGGACTTTCATCGTCGTGTGGTCCTCCTCGAAAGTCCAGTGCCGTGACCCTCACACACACACCCCCTTCCCCCGTCCCAACTGCGGCGTCCCGCTCAACCCGTGGACTGTCCCCCGCCAAGGCAGAACGCAGCTTAAGTCCATCTCAGCGCGCTGTCCTTTCAACCACATCCTCCGCACCTCCCACCTCTACGTCCGCCTCGACACAAAACGTCAACGGGTCATTTATCTGCTGGGATCCGGACACCTATGCGGTCTACAGTAGTCTGCATACAGTGCATTTTATCGGAGATGGTGGATGGCGCGCACTTCCGGCGGCTGTTCCCCTTCTCTCACTAATCGCTTCTCTGCGGGAGGACACTTTTGCATGGTATTTCCCCTTTTATATGCTTTCGTTCGAAAAATGACGTCTACCCGGCAAAATATGGGCATGTGGCCAAACTTTTGGTTATCCAACCGTTTGTTCGTTAGGAAGATTTAGAAGCAAATTATGTTGTTCGTGCCCCCGAAAAACTGTTACATTGGCAGGTTTTGTTGTTATGCAACACCTTACTCTAAGCTTTTTTCTCGAAAATTTTTCAAGTTAACCTAACACCTAGCCTTCAAACTAGTGTTTTCGCATGGCAATCCACGATACACTGTGACATTTACTGTTTCAAGGGAGTCCCTTCCAGTCGTACCTGACTTCTCCTGTCTGAACTGCCTTATCACGACGAACTGAAAGTCGGGGCCTGGGAGATCCCCAACTGACGAAATAGCTCTGTCCTTCTTTGGACTGCATTGGCTCTTAGTGTGGCCTTTATGGCTTTTTATGCCTGTGAGATCCACGCCGCTTTCACAGTAGCCACGCGTCTGGACACTGTCTTGCCATTCGAGCAAGATGGAGTAGGGAAGTTAAAGTGTGGTAGAGGCTGCACACAGGTCTTCCTCACCACACATTAAATCACACGCAGGTCACCTATCCCGCGCTCAGCCCGTGGTGGACATCGTCGTTTGTCGCAGTCGAACTGTAGGATGTGTATAGCCGTCAACTTCGCACTCCTCTCCAGAACCTCGTTTACCCCCCTCCACGGTACCCCCGTCACTCACTTGGCGCCCGGTAAAGCACTGAAGAGGGGGGGGGGGTGGTCAGCTGACACTTGGCAGATGACGGCCTCATGCGCCCTTCATCAAGCACCTCTTAAGCCATACATTCATTCCGCAGGCACTGACTTTCGGTGGGCGAGTCTTATGCCTGTGTTGACACACAGTAAGTGCGCCTTCCCATGAGATGCCGACTGAAATTTTGGAATGTTTTTCTTCGACTACAGAGGATTATTTACGTAGAGCTGTCATATTCTTACATCATGCAGGACAATCCCAGAATATTTCATTCACGTCAGGGTGTCGTTTTTTAATGTACATCCTTTCGGCCACCTGCAAAAATTGCACTGTAAAAATGGACTGTGGGTCAATCTTTAGTTGCTCTTAATGTGGTCTTTATGGCATTTCACGCCTGCGCGATCCACCGCGCCCTTACAGTGGTCTACTATGTGTGTTGAGGACTACTTGCATGAGACGTTTAGGCAGACTCATTGAATATTAAGCTGAATGAGTGAGAGGTGGCATTCTTCCCACGCTAACTCACATATCGATCCAGGCAGACAGGATGTCACTGTCAGTCCACTCGATTCCATTCTGCGCTATCACAGCTGGTTGGGAATCATTCAATCAGTAGACGCAGTGTGCACCCTTAACCAAGGCATAAGAGTTCTCCTCGCGGTTAGGACCTTGTTGAGTCCCACAACTGTCCGTCGCCAGTTGCTATGCGATGCTCAAGACCTCCTGGATTGGTAGTCAATGAACGGGTTTTGCTGAACCAATCATTATACGTACAGTAGGCGGGCTAACTCATGAAATGTCAACCGAAATTCAGAAATTCGCTTTCGTTTCAGAAAGATTAATTAAGTAGGGTTGTAAAACTAGTCATCATTCAGCATACTTCTATAATGATCCAGTTGCCTCAGGGTAACGGCTATGGAATGAACTTATTTTCGACTGCATGCAAGAACTGTACTCTGCAAAAAATGACTACTTAAGTAGCATGCATTCGTCTCGTTGATTTTCAATGACCTTAAGAATTCCATCATATTTCATGGAAAACATGCACAAACATATTCATTGTTTTCTTATTCGGCAGAAAATTACTTCTTCTTCCAACCTTATCCTCGAAGGAAGGGTATAATTCTGTTTTCAAAAACTTCCACTTCCCGAATAATTTTGAACCCGACCTGCCTTTACACTTGCATTCAGGGTTTTCAAACTACAAGCCATATATTTTCCGCGTACGGAAAACCATGCAATTCTCTACGGTATTCGCAGGAGACACAGTGGGATTCATAAAATTTAGCAGTGGATTTGAGCAATATTGTAGACTTAACAAGCCACATTAGTAAATGCAGAGACACGGTGTTTTATGAACAGGCATTTCACGGTATTAAAAAAATCTCATAATTAGAAACTTTTTTTAAAACCGAATTATACCCATGCTTCGAATATCAACGTGGAAAAAACGTAAGTTCCTACCGAATGAGCCAAAGAATGGGTATTTTCATGCATGTTTTTCATGAAATATAATTGGATGATTATTTATTTCGGTTGACATCTCGTGAGTTAGTCCACCTTCTGTACATCAGTGCACCGTGTTCCTGGTCACCGGCGTCATGCGCAGGCCTGTCCTGGTTGGTCAGCCTGCTGAAGCAGCACGTGGACCCTAGACACCTTCCCGACTGCAGGCGCCGGCGATTCACCTACCAGCGGGTGCATGCCGACTCGCACGTGGCGTCCTCGCGTCGTGCATAAAAACCAACTACTGGGCACTCGTTACCTTCTGAGCCGCCTGCACAGATATCATTGACATTGATGACAGTAAATAGGCCGGAAACGGTTATTGCAGCATCCCCCTCCTCCGCCCGGGTTTTGGTAATCTCGCGATAAGTTGCTGTGTTAGTCGCAATTCCACCGCCTGCATAACTGTTGACCGCACACCCCAGTCCCATCCCAGCCTTTCGTTTGCAGCTAGCATCCGCGCCAGGGCAGGGCATGAGTCATGCAGTCACCTTTGCTGCCTTAGTGAGACCACGGTCCGGTTTCGCATCGCTGCTAATGCTGCGCCCTTACTCGCCCGCCTGGAATCGACTGCCCCACGCCGTTGGCCGGCGGCCAACTCGCGTTGGCAGTTCTCTACTGGACCAGCGCCTGTCACTGGTATGTCCCACCACCACCAGCACCACATGACTGAACTCGACCTTCGAATTTTAGCGGTTAGGGCGTGCCTTGCCGGCGCAAGATTGTCAGCTCGAAGACTAGGTGGAGCGCACTAGGGATGGTTTGATGCACGCGACTGCCACGTAACAGAAAGTAGCCTCGATACGACATGCTCCTCCGGCTTCCCCGAATTCCTCCCTCCCCCCGTGTTTTCTTCTCCACCTCTTTTCATTTTCTTGACCATCTCAGTATGCATTCTGATTTCCAACCCAACTTTCAGCCTACAGAGTCGCAATTTCGATGCTCTCTTGAAAGTCGAACCAGATACGTGGATCCTCTGTCGACGGCTAAACCGCCGCGAAATGTACATTGTATTCACTGGCAAGAAAATGGATCTTGGTCGGGTGTTGGGTATGTTCTTGTGTATTTGTAACTGTCTTTCCCTCCTCTCTGAATTTATCATTTTCTCCAGGCCTTATGACAGAGACCTATTCGTTTTTTTTGCGGTAGCCGTATGCGCCATGTACATGAAATCTCAACAGAAATTCCGAAATGCGTTTTCGTTTCAAAAAGATAAATTAAGTAGGGTTGTAAAACCAATCATTGTGCAGCATAATTCTATAATAGTTCATTTACCCCAAGACGCCGGCTTTCGAACAAACGTCTTTCCGGCTACATCCAAAAACCACACTCCGCAAAAATGACTACTGACGTAGCATGCATTTTTTCATTGATTTTCGATGCCCTTAAAGATTCAGTTGTATTTCATAGAAGCCATACATAAAAATGTTCATTTTTTGCTGATTCAGTAGAAAAGTGCGTCTTCTTTCAATTTTATACTCGAAGGAAGGGTATAATTTGGTTTTATAAAACTTTTCCAATTCCCGAATAATTTGGAACCCGGTCTGCCGTTATACTTGCATTCAGGGTTTCCAAATTACAAGCCGTATAATTTCCGCGTACGGAAAACCATACACGGGCTTCATAAAATTAAGCAGTGGATTTGAACCACATTGTTAACTTTACAATCCACATTGGTAAATGCAGAGGCATGGCGCTTTATGAAGGGCCATTTCACGGTATTAAAAAAATCTCCCAATTAGAAAATTTTTAAAAACCGAATTTTACCCTTCCTTCGAGTATAGAATTGAAAGAAGACGTAATTTTTACTGAATCAGCAAAAGAATGAATATTTTATGCATGCTTTATATGAAATATAATCGAATCTTTAAGGGCATCGAAAATCAATGAAAAAATACATGCTACATCAGTAGTCATTTTTTACGGAGTGTGGTTTTTGGATGCAGCCCGAAGACGTTTGCCTGTCCCCTTCTATGTAGACCTGAGCACACGGCCACCTGTGTAGGCGCTGTTTATTTTGCCTAATCTGAAAAGCCGTCGGGCGTAAGTGCTGGTGTTTCTATGCTGGGATTGTTGGTGTGAATTTGACGGCGCATCTAGACCGGACTTGAGCCAGAGCAAAGCATATTTGTGGGGCTAGCGAATTTGCAATTGGTGACTGCGCCCTAACCCATCCGCAGTCGTCTTAGTCTTGTCCTAAGAGGTTACAGTGAGGTCGGCGCTGTGCAAGTCACCGCCACATATATTACGGGGATTTTGCGAGTTACCACCGCTCCATCAGGATAGTCATAATGCCTCGCCGACTGTAGTAAACAAACTACAAGCTACATCCTGCGTACTTCATACCCGAACGTGGACCTTTTTGTTGTCCGGGCCTCGAATAACCGTCGGTCGGTGCGCCGTATTGTCCGTCCACGCCTGCTACACTCACCAACCAGATACACCACAGTCTCAGAGTCCAGTTTATGTGACTTCAGGGGTAAACATTAGACACAACTCCGGTTTACCATGCAAGCTGATTGCTGTCCTTGGACTTTTTATTTAATTTATGTCCATTTTGCATAAACTACTGCTTCCGGGGCTTAAGTCGTCGGAGATGAGGAAGGCCATTTCTCTTCAGTCGTTTCTCTTATCACAGGTCTCACCCGGACCCGCTTTATTAGTTGTCTTGTGCACATGTGACACCGAATCTAATTATCTTACGGGACGACTGCAGTCTCCCACTTTGCCATCGAGAATTTCGGTTCGAAGTCCGCTCAGACCTGATCATAGTGTAAGGCTTATAGTCTCACTAGTTGTCTTGCGAGATGACTGGTGTCTCGTAATTGTGCGTATAACTGTACGTCTCCTCTGGACCTTGTAGCCCTTGAAGCAACTGGTCGGAGAAGGATACCGGCTTTGTCCGAAACTGATAACCAACGTCGCCACGATGACACCCACACTAGTCATTTGCTAACCACTTACATCCTTTCAGAGAGTAGTCCTGTATAAGGAACAACCATGAGGACTTTTACTCCTGATGGATGCTTCCTCGACCAGATATGAGCCATGATACATGAACAGAGAATGATGGTCGCCTGGTTCCCTAGTTTCGGCTGACAGAAGAACCTTTTGGAAATTCCTTTCGTACCTGCTCCTGTACTTGATGAGAACACATCAGTGAGCCCACATTAACGACTCGAAATATGACTATATTTGACCGCCGTCAAGGCTGCATTCTCCCCCTCCAGCCCTCCGTTTATATGCGATAAGCGCTGCTCTGTCAATCCGTGACATGAAGATCTTAAGGACTGCCAGATGGGGAACAATCCTTCGTCTTGAGCCTTGCCTCCGCCGACAGCATTGCTCTATGTGGAAATGTCTCCTGAGGAATGCACTGTCTCTTATCTCCGTCGATTAACCTACGACCGTATTGTGTATTCTCCCGCTACAGTAGTTAGAGTTCCGAGACCGTTATACTTCTGGCATGTTTCAGTTTCTCTGCCTGATGCTGTTGTGTCTTAAACATGAAATTTCAGTCCCGACTGAGCTTAGTTCTCGTCAGTGACCTCTGTCATCCGCACCGGACGGTCCGGTTGCGCGCTCCGCTGACGAGTTCGAACTCATCTGCGACACTGCTTCTGCGAGCTTCAGTCTGATTTCTACCACCACCATTTGGCCAATTATTAGAAAAGGCGTCAGGTGGGAGAAGGTGAGGTTGAACACATTGGTTTGCAATATTTGGAACTGAAGAGCCAACCGCAGATTCGGCCGTTGTCATTGACTAGCAGGAAATTGTTGCTCTCAGCGACATTGACCATCAGAAAATTGAAACGATGCTGGCTCTAATTCTGCACTCCTTTATAAGCCTGCTTAAGTCGTGATTTGCCGGCGATCGGTTGCGTGGCGCGGCTTGGTGAAGGAATGTTTTCTCGTATGTCCCAGATTCGATGGGGATGACTCCATGCTCCCCTTCGACATAATAACTTGAGATTTCTGATGGAAGCTAATAGGGGAGTTCCAGGAAACAGTTCAGAAGACGCCATCGCTGGAACAAGAGGTTTATTGGTGTGATGTTTCGGATCCTCATTCCAATACATCATCAGAAGCAGTCACAGAAAAGGGTAGTAGAGGCATGGGGAGCGCGTTGTTTATAGGACCCGGCTACCATATGTTTACAATAATTAACAGCACTGGCGTTTGTCGCTGGGGGGGGGGGGTAGTTTTTGATTTGATGATTGCTTGTCAGCCCGTACCCAAGTCGTTAATGGCCATAACTTCATCACCGTTGCTGATTCTTGGCGTGACGATGACTCAGCGGTTTGGCTCACTGTCACAGTGACAGCTGGTCGCCCCGAGGCAAAATCGCAGCTCAGAATATTGAGGCTGTTGCGTTTGCTGGTCGACAGAGAGCCGCCGGACCACAACTTCGGCAGCTTGCGGCTCATGCGGTTGTCGCCTCTTGCGAGGACTTTGACCTCGTCGCACTTGAAGGTGCGGCCAGTTCTGGGAAAGTGCTAGACGACATCGGATGAAGCCACGTTAGTTTCTGGGCAACATTCGCATGCCGTAATGCCGAAACGGCTCAAGGCCTTCTTCTGTGTAACCTATTTGCTGAATCCTTGCCCAGCCACGTCTGAAGGCGTTACTTCTTCATAGCACGCTACCGCTCATGTGTAAGAATCGAGCATCTGTTTATCTGGCATTTAACTTTCTTCGAGGACTGCTTAGCTGTCCGCCACCTGTGAATGCGCCAGGTAGTCGATAACTGACACAACTAGCGTCCGGGCCATCTGGTAGCCAGCTTCTCAGCGGCCAAGGCTCTGCGCTGCCGTGGTTTGGACTTTTGTGTCTTCGTCTGCTGGTAACCTGACTGCCAACATCGCAGCACCCCTCACAGCAATTGTCAAGCTTATGATAATTTGCTCCTCCTCTTCCAGCGTGTCAAGCTAGCCGTCTGGTGTTTATTAGGCTCCACCTTCCTTTGCGTCCGCTCCTTCAACCTACATGTCTTACAACTGGCTGTAACTAGTTTCACCACACATGTGATGGCTGTGAGCACACCGGTCGACAGTTCGACCGTGGATTCCGACATAGTAGTAGTGGTAGTAGTAGTAGTAGTAGTAGTAGTAGTAGTAGTAGCAGTAGTAGTAGTAGCAGTAGTAGTAGTAGTAGTAATAGTGGTAGTAGTAGTAATAGTGGTAGTAGTGGTAGTAGTAGTAGCAGTAGTTGTAGTAGTAGTAGTAGTAGCAGTAGTAGTAGTAGTAATAGTGGTAGTAGTGGTAGTAGTAGTAGTAGTAGTAGTAGTAGTAGCAGTAGTAGTAGTAGTAGTGGTAGTAGTAGTAGTAGTAGTAGTAGTAGTAGTAGTAGTAATAGTAGTAGTAGTAGTAGTAGTAGTAGTAGTAGTGGTAGTAGTAGTAGTAGTAGTAGTAGTAGTAGTAGTAGTAGTAGCAGTAGTAGTAGTAGCAGTAGTAGTAGTAGTAGTAGTAGTAGTAGTAATAGTGGTAGTAGTAGTAAAGGGCAGGAGGATCAAGAGCAAAAACAAGACGAGCAGCATCAGAATCAGCAAGGTGATAATACCCCCTGGTCCACAACTCACACTGACCAACAAAAAGTAGGAGACGGGGCGGCACGGATCCCATTCGGCCCGACTTAAGCCTGCAACTGGACCTGCTTCCACACCCCGACTGTTGACTTGTTATGGGTGCGCATTCTCGATAACGTCTGCCGGACTCCCTCCTGGCCCACGTGTAGCTCAAGTGCATCTACCGCGTGGCCCGTTTTAGGAGCCTACTAGGTTACCTGTTTGCCTTTCCAGGTATTCTGTTCTATGCCGACCTTCTCATCCTGCGAAGGCTTTCGTATTGCTGTTGCCCGTGGCCTCGTAGGTTATCCCACTTAGATTATGTGTTTAAACTTACATCTCATGGCCTAGTTGTGGGTATTTAAACGTCGTCCGAAGACGAGATCATCTGTGGTGGCCTGTGAAAACATCGTCCTTCCACTACTTTTATCTGATACTTATTCAATCTTTATTTGACTTCACGACAGTGAGCTTTGTTCGACACAACTTCGTTTTTTTGCGCTCCGGAAGTTCACCTCTTTGGAATGAAGCGTCAGGCATGACGTAGGCGTTCCTGACACCGTATGCTTCCTTTTTACTTAATTAAACCGGTTAGGCTGACCCGTTGATTTGAATTGTATGTTAACTTCTGCCCCGGGTTGTCGACTACACAGTTCAAGGTTCTAGACGCGTACTGTTAGGTCAAAGGTTTCTGACCATTGCGTTGGTCTTAAAGCAACCTCTGTGTGTGTACCTGTGGCTCTTCCTGTGCGCTGCTTTTATCCGTCCGCCTGACCGAGCCACTTTAATGCCTTTTCCAAACAGATCTGAGCCGACATACACGTCTTTCGCCTGTTTTCCACTGCATGCACATCAAGACCAAATTAATTTCCATTTGACATCACGGAGGGGGTGCAGGTCAAAAAGTGTCCTTCCTGATCAGAGGGATTAATGACCGTCCAGTACCGGCTGATTTAATCGCTGCGTTTGGATTAAGCTGTACTGCTGCGGCATCCATGGGTCCGCATTTTGTCTTGCGCATTGCACTGCGTAAAGCACTTTATGCAGGACTGAACTGTCAATTGCCACCGGGTAATTGGCCGCACACCCGATGCAACTACCATAATTGTTTACCTCTGACTGCAGGAAATTAAGTTTGCACTGGCTTGTGCACTTAAGGTGCTTGGTTTTGGCCGCCTGGACACATAAATATCATTTCTGACTTTTAAACCGTATCGGCGCATTGCGTGCGTGGATGGTTATTGGCCAATGAATTATTTGCAGAACTGGCCTGTTCATTTATTCATTTTGGTGTGGGTGCAAGACATTCATGGGGAGTTGTGTGGAGGGGCAGAAGGCGTCAGACCATCTCTTAAGAACATTGAGCGATGTTGGAGGATAGAAGACGAAATGGTATTGTCAATTGTCGGAGATGGTGCTTATGTTCAACTTCATCCGGTACAAGCTGGCATCCAGTGCTGGGTAAGATGTGGTTATGTAGTCCCGTCTGATGGACACAATCCTCTTGGGGGTGGGGTTAGAATTAGGGGTTAAGGCAACTGTTTTTCAATCATTCAAAGTACAATCGCGCATTTCCAATAGCTTTTCTTCTGCATGCAACTACCTAACCTCGTCGCCTGTGCGTACACCGGCCCCACCTCCAAAAACCCCCATTATCACCTGCCCCGTACTACAGGCGGCTGGAGTTGGTTTACCTCAGTTGCGACTACATGACCACATCTGACCCAATCCTCGTCAAACGCGGAAATATTAACCTCCCGACCTGCAGATGGTCTCGCTGTCCATAGCAAGGCAGCTCGGGACAACTGTTTCTGACACGAGGCTGGTATACTGCTACAGTTAGTGACCTAACTCATGAAGTGGGTCGAAATTTACGAATGATTGCCAATCACTCGCAAACCGACACTATTTCATGAGTCCAATTTCTATGTTAATTATGTACAAGTTTTAAAAAATTAAAAACATAAAAGAAATATTAAAGGCGGTATTGCGTTGTTTAGAAATGTCGATTTATTTTGAAAAGCGCAATATGCCGAAAACGTCAGACATACCTCTAATTTAGTGAACTTCGTTTTGAGATGTATAAAATATACTCTCATATCAAAAACGTAGTAAATATGAAAGTAGACATAAAATAACGTCTAATAATATGGTTTTAAGTGAAGTTTACATCCAAATCTAGTTTAATAAGTAGTGTGATTTCATATATGACGGTTTGTCAACTGCCTACATTCGGAGTGTAGACTCCAAAAACAGTTTCCCTGTGATTTGTGTTATTTTTGACTCGACTGAAGTAAATGAGATGGGGTTCAACAAAAGAATCTGGATTTTGCTTGATTTCACCGATAGGGACCTCGTAGGATCGAAGGTTTTCGTAAAGTGACATGTCATGAGGCCGGTCGGTGCCTAATAAATTTAAATAGAACTGACAGGCGTGATCGTAAACATACCATTTTGTGTTTATAGAGAGAACCTTTCTTCCCTTAGATTAATTTAAACTTCTCGTTCGTTTAGTATTACGTTGAGTTTCAGATCCGTCTTGAAATGTTGCTGAATACTTTATGATTTTTAGTGTTTTTGCCCGATCATCCATAATGACAGATTCTGAATTATCTGTCTGTTGAGAACTTTAAAATAAGATTATTCTTGAAGGCATTTACCGAATTAGTGAGTGTTCGAGCGTCCTTTTCACGAAGATGGTCCTTTGGGTCACATGTGAAGACTCATACAAACATCAAACTTCATTTTCGAGAAAAATGTCTGTTCACAACGAAAGTCAACCACGAATATGCATTCAATCGATGAGAAAACTTTCTTTAATAAGTTACCTTTTTAAGAAGTGCTTTATTATTTCGCTCCGTTGACGCATCTCTGTGTACTTTGCATTTTTGCACGGTGAGGCCAAGTACAAATTTGACACTTTTGGTCGTTTCTTTCGCGCTCCTGAAAAATACTAATATTTTTCTACCGTTAACGTAAGAACATGCCTTTCTCTTTATATTGAGGCCATTTGCACTGTTTTGCTCGTATTTAGACTCCGTTCTTCGCTTATGAATGCACGGTAGAGCGCCCATATAAATACTGATATTTTGCTGAAATTATAAATGTTTTGCTCGTTCTATTTCTGAATAAGATATGCACAGAAGCTAAACTACACGGCAAGTAGTTTCATATTTTTAAAGCTGGAAATCACCATTCCGTGGTGGTCATCTATGTGACATCAGATAGAATTTTCCAAACGGCAAAACATTGTCAGCCAACTTAAAGGAAGGAATCCCTATCTGCGCTATTACTGCACTTTATGGCGCCAAATCGCACAGATCGGCTAATTTGACATTTAGGAATTGATAGAACCTCTGGTTTTCTTAAAATAACCTTTTACGTTAGCAGGTTGATCGCCATGGTTAACATCGGACATAAAATAAATTTTCTAGTTCGGCTAAATCTTTTTGTTAAACCTCTCACTGGCAAATTACTATCCTTTCAATGAAATAGTCGCTCAGATGCCTAACCGGAGTCTAGGACATGTATTAGCGTAGGAAATTACACAAATATATTCTAACATCCATTTTCGCTAAAACTTACTGATATTTTACTTGATATAATTACGTAAGCACAATTTCTGCACAAGAAAAGGACATTTCAATGAAGGATGTGGATGAGCGAACAAACGGCGCAACGTTAAAGACGTCCAGAAATTCTCTCATCAGTTTTCCCAATCAGATTTCATGAGATAGGTCACGTACCATACTGTTAGACCTGAGATCTGAACGGGGACCCGTTGGCCTTTTGATCTTAAAGTCCTACCGTTTGAGCAGTGGAGTAGCACTCTGTCAGCTGGGATCGGGAATGTTCACAGTCGTTCGGGAGACTGGCGTGCTCACTTAATATAGGTCTTTTTGCTAGATTAGAATAGTTCCACTAGCCCATGTACGGAAATGATTATAGCATTGACTGTACTCTAGCCGACGTCTTAATAATTTGGTCAGTGAACTGTAATTCTACGGCCTTAACCCTCCCTGAGAATATGAGCTACCTCTCCGCGGACGACATCAGTCTGATTCCTTTTTTCCCCCACTAAGTCGGATTTTTTTCACTTCAAATTTTTAGAGAGTTCGCGCGACCTCTGGTCATTTCCATTCGTCGGACTCCTGCCGATGTAGCCGTCGTACTCTATCTCTCTTTCTCCAGCTTCGAGTTTGCCCTTTCAAGGTCGCGTCTGCCTATGCCATTGTCAGAACCCCTGTGCTGAACTTATTAATCTGCCCATACACTGGTCTTTCTTACTTGTATTTTCTTATCACTTAAAATGTGATGAACCTTCTATCTTGAAAATAAACTTGTTAATTACTAAAACCCGGACTTAATCCCTGAATGTGATACCGCACTGTTGTTTGTTGTCTAACCCCGGTTCTGTTGTTTTACTGCCACCACGACCACCTCCATCTGGCTTACAAACCGCCTCTGACCTTCTGCTGAAGAATTATGCTCCCATTGAGAAATTCGAAAGACAGCCTTGCGAGCATACGTCCGATTTCAGTAGATTCTATTCAGGCCAGCACATTTGTAAGAAAAAGGTGCCGGAAAGGCACCTATATACGAATAGCTGGCTTAGTGTCTTTTGCCCATGGTAACTGTGATACCTGTGTGAAGTTCTCCTGTGCGCATAGAACTGGTTTGCGTAACCTGATTGCAGCCACCTCTGCCGTTGCCAACAGACGCTGCCCAAAGAGTTTTGAATTGCTTGACGAAGTTTGAAAAATCATTCGGAAGACTTCTCTGGCATCTACACGGTGGTCTGTGTCTACCATGTGCGCTAGGATAGAGCTGTTAACGTTCTTTATTTGGCCCTTACCTAACCATGCTGGAAGATGCTCTCTTATTCTTTTAGACAAATGTTGGTTCATGCAACCAGCGTACTCTGTCCCACAGGAGCAGGTGAAGGAGTAGATATGCATAGAAGTGGCATAGGCTGGCAGTTTGTTCTTGCCCCTTCCGTATAGGATTGAACTAGTACTCAGGCCTCAGCTACTAGAAAGGT